GACATACTGGTTTAAAATGCCGAACAACTGCAGAATTCCTGACAAGTAGCGTCCGTTCTCATGGTGACACTTTAGATATTTAAATATTGTACGTCTTACTTTCTTGCAAGAAGTTTACATATTCGTCAATAACCAATAATAAAATATCAAAGAAAAGATACAAATTAATGGAATCCTATTTTCCAGACATCAATCAATTACTGAATTCTTGTCAAGATGCAGTTTAACTGCCACAATTCCGATTTGCCCCGACGACAGAAGTAAAATACTGGTAAACGTTAACCAAGGACAAAAAGTCATCGTCTCCATTAATGCTGAACGATATTTTCTTCCACAGCATGACAGACAGCATTCCTGACAATAGGGCAATTCTAAAACACGAAATTGCACAGGAAATGTGTTGCGTGTCTGAACACATCAGGATATTCGGAAGTCTTAAAGCTGTTGGGACTAACCCGCATATAAATTATGGTTTCCACACATGGGAAAGGATACGATGCCCTTTTGGCGAACACCTGACATCAACAATATTTGATACTGATTCAGAGTGAGTGAGCGAGTGAGTGAGTTGGGTTTTACGCCGCTTTTAGCAATATTCCAGCAATACCACGGCGGGGGACACCCGAAATGGGCTTCACACATTGTACCCATGTGGGGATCGAACCCGGGTCTTCGGTGTGACGAGCGAACGCTTTAACCACTCGGCTACCCCACTGCCTTTCAATGAAACATCAAATTTGAAAACGTTGACAATAACGAAATGTTAAAAGTCGTAAATCGCTTATTCTTCCAGGGCGACTGACAGTTGTTGGGTCGTCCATGTGAATGGACAAAACAAACAAGTGATGTACATCATATCGATCTACACAGTTGGCAACGATGACTTGCACTCTGTCCTCTATATATACATAGGCGAAGCCCCCTCCCCCCTTGTCTTGAACGTTTATTAAATGACCTTTGAAACTCTATTGAAAATCACACATCTTTCTCAAGACTGTGCACCCTACTTTCTCAGAAAGCTGTATCCGCCCCTGCTATAACATGTATCGTGTGTCCTTGCGCCAGTGAATTCCAGAGGCGTTTTCAGTGAATAATCCGGGCCGTTTTGAGGAGGCCTCAGGTCATCGGTGAACAGATTAAACATAAAACATCGCAACCATATTTAAGTCGACACACGAATGTGGGGAACATTTATCCTGCCCAGAAATACAAACCACGTTACGTTAAGACTGGACACGTCTTCTGTACAACTGCAGTATTAAGAGCGGTTTTGCTGGTCGGTCACACACAGTCCCCGAACCGCAATATTTTCCCTTCGCCCTTTCTGCACGCTAAATCCTCTAATTGAAACAAGTTTTGATTTGCCCAGGTTCAGGAACCCCTTCTCACCTGGCTTCTTTTCAGTTTAAAAAGGGAATAATTTGTTTCTATCATAAAGTATAATTCTGAGTCTAAGCGTTATAGTCTGTTTGCTGCAAATTCGAACCGACGAAATGGCAAATAAATATGCATTCGAAAGTAACAAATCGACTTTAATGGCATGAGTTAGTCACTTTTCCATACCAAATCGTCACTATAATTTCAGACATTGGCATGAAGAAGGGGAAAAGTTTAGACAATATCGGTAAAATAACATGGGCCAAGTGCATTGACGACCGAAATCGTATTGGGGAAAATGACGAATTACACCATGTAGCTGTCAGTCAATTTTTAGTTCAGGTGACAGTGGCAGTGAAAATATGTCGGAGAAGAGGTTTTGAGACTATCCCTGTGTTCCGCGATACCCTTTAGCTGTTCTGTTACTGTGCATACCCGTTACAACAGTCATTAAAACACCAACATTTACATTATCGTTTGTTGAACAACTTTTCCTCTGAGAACTTTATGTAACATTCAAGTTCCCCTCAATCACAAGCATCGGAGCCATTGCTGTTGCCGCACCCAAACCATCTTGCTCCAACCTCTTCCAGTGACAAGTGCCCCCATGGCCCCTCCGTCCTGACACGTGCTCGGCGAAGACAATTCTTCTCCATTTACGTGGTCCCTATGAAGATGAAGATGTCGAGGTTGATGTTTTGGAGTCAGAAGTAACCGTCAGATTGGTTGCGTTTCTTCGAGTGTTTTAATGATTCCATGTCACTGTAAGATTTGCGCCTGAGCATATTTCATTTTGAATTTCTTCATATCAAAGAAAACCCTGTGGCCTCTATTTTAATCCCCAGAACACACCCTCCCCCTAAACAAATGTGTTCATACACTTACCCAAAAAGTTCATACATAGGACTCACACTATTTATCTTCAGCGGGGGATAATCTAAAATATCATTGTATTGGAATACTTGACATATTTTGAGAATAAATTATGTTTTAACTGGAATGAGGAAAATATCCCCATTATAAAGGATTAGCATAGAACAGGCCAGGTAAATCCATGAACCATTATACTTGTACATCAATACCTCATGACTGGCGCACGTGACCTCTGACTCGCACATTATTTCACGCAGAATCTAGACCGGCACAGAACTGTCTACCTACTATCCTTTAAAGCTGTTTTCAAGTGTAATCCCAGCCTGCTGAATGTGAAAGAATCAGAGGGGTGAGCTACAGCACCGTCACCACTTGAAGACGGCAAACTGAGACTAATGTTCAAGGGACTGAGTGAGTGAGTTTAGTTTTACACCGCTTTTAGCAATATTCCAGCAATATCACAGTGGGGGTCACCAGAAATGTGCTTCACACATTGTACCCATGTGGGGATTTGAACCTGGGCATGTTCAAGGAAATCTGTCACAAAGTTTTCCTGAAGTTTTATCTATCAAAAGAAGGATACATACACCTTACACTGATCACAAACAAGTAGTTTATTCCATGCATACAGGTGTCTTTGTGAGATCCAAATATACAAGATAGGTGCAAAAAACACAAATAGGTAACAAATCAACATTAAAACAATAGAGAAATTTTGTCATGATGTTTAACACAGACATTAACGACTGGAAGATGAATATCATTTAAACACACCATATACATGTTCCCCTCTTAGAGTACATATTTATACAATTCAGATATGAATCAACATGACTATGTCAAATACTGACATAAATACAGAATATATAACACGAGTAGATAACTAGGCGAAACATTCACTCTATTGTTCACAATTACCATGATAACCGTAGCGATAATATCCTGAAAATCCCATTTCGGAATGAACGGTTTATCAAAAATTGAACAAGACACATTCACATACAATCCCCAATAAAGATAAAAAATAACATGGTTATGAGGCCAATACTTTAGTACGTAATCCCTTGATGGAGGCTGTCGATGGAGGCTGTCAATGAAGCTGATAAATTGTACCAGTGTCCAACCAATGTCTTGATACACAAAATATCAACACAAAGTTAGGCAAGGTTTCAAACAATTAACAAGAAACCTCAACATACAAGTAATGCCAATGAGAAGTGTCCTTAAAACTTGACTACAACAATCACTAACATGTCGATGTTGTATGACAACCCAGTCTCACTGTATATAGTTCTACCTTATAGAACTCACACATCTAAATTATAGAATTTACACATCTAAATTATAGAATTTACACATCTAAATTGTAGAACTTACGCATCTAAATTATAGAACTTACGCATCTAAATATAGAACTTACACATTTACCTTAAAGAACCTACAGATTTACATTATCGAGTTGACACATTTACCGTATAGAACTTATATTGTTAAACTTACACACTTATCTTAACCTATGTACACTTTTACGTTAGTCAACTCATGCATTTACCTTGTAGAGGTTGCACAATTACCTTATCGAACTTACACATTTACCTTGTAGTACTACACACTTACTTCATAGAGCTTACACAATTACCTCATAGTACTAGGCACTTCCCATATAGAGTTACACATTTACATTATAGAACCTACACAATTACCTTAGAGTGCTTACACATTTACCTTGTAGAGGTTGCACAATTACCTTATCGAACTTACACATTTACCTTGTAGTACTACACACTTCATAGAGCTTACACAATTACCTCATAGTACTAGGCACTTCCCATATAGAGTTACACATTTACATTATAGAACCTACACAATTACCTTAGAGTGCTTACACATTTACCTTGGAGAACCTACAGATTTACTTATTGAACCTACAGATTTACCTTAGAGAGCCTTCACATTTACGTTACAAAACCTACACAATTACTTTGTATAACTAAAGTACTGTCGGAAATAGAAAAAAACTGTTTTTTGACATTTATATCTACAATTTAGGTAGTTAATATGTGAAAGTGTGAAATATCTGTTGAACTAAGTTCGGCCTAACTACAGTCTCAGTGGTAGGGAGATGGGGAACGTTGAAAAAGGATTTTACTGAGGAGACATTAGTGCAGAAATGAGCAATGCGGGGGTTTTCTAAGTCCGAAGAGACTTATTTGGAGCAGACCATGGCTTTATGCAAATTAGTGTGCGATGATATTGTATAACAAATGACACTTTTTGAATGTCCATTATGAAATTAGACTTAGCTTCATAATAAACGATAGCAGAAGTCAAAAATAACAACTTTAATACTGAAACTATTACGGACATAGATACCATTCAGTCTCACTATCACTATAAAAAGAAACAGGTAGGAGGGGTCATCTCAAAAGCAAAACCAAGACGGGTGTTGCTGACGGTAGTTGGGGTCGGGCTTGGGGATAGAGATATTAGCTAAGATTAGATAATCAGTAGAGACACATTCAATACACATGAAAAAGCATAAAAAAAATATTTGAGATGACCCCTTGGGCAGCAACGTGCATTTCATGCCAAGTGAGTTGACGGTCTGTCGGCTGAGCGACCTTATTGCCATCTATAGTCTGATCTATTGTTTTCAGCAGCTGTTCGGTTTTTCTCAGTTTTGTCCGATTTTACGAGTAAGCATGCTTTTCTGGATATCCTATTACGCATCCCACTGAACGCCCAGTTGGGCCGATGTGGGTTATTTCGACATATGCTATTTGCAATTGTGTAAATTTTAGGGATACAGAGTAACAGCCTAAAAACAGTTTTTTTCTATTTCCGACAGTACTTTAACACATTTACCTTGTGTAACAAATAGCCATGAACATATCAATGCTAAACCTTATCATTATTCTTGTGCTCTATGGGATGCAGTACATGATGTAGTGTGTGGCATCAGTTGACAGTAGGAACTACATACAACAAAGAGATGCCAGTATGTCATTCAAGGGCTCAAGCTTCATATTGACTTCAAAAAGCTGACTTCCTCCATAATCTGATGCTGGGGAATGTCACACCAACAAATACAGACAACCATACAAATGAAACTATAATACTGGAGACAAAGAGTCAAATAAAGTGTGACACAGCATCATTGACAGATGCTTAACTTCTATAATAAATACTATCAAAGTCCTACATAATAGTGAAATCTTAAAAGATTGGCTATGAAAGGGAGGTAACCTAACATATCCAAATTATCTCCCTTACAACTAGGAATGTTATAGCACTTTCATTTCCAGTGTGGGATAAGGAGGGCCATTGAAGAGGATATGTCTTGCTTTACAATTCATCAAACAGTTTAATTTGATTACTGGAACAACATACACAAGACCCTTTTATCACATATATATGTATTAATGTTTCAATTGACTTTTAAATGTCACATCATCCTTTTAGACTTTAACAAATACACTGCTTTTAAAACAATAGTTTTGACACTTGCTACAACCCAGTATTTGTATCTGTCTTCTGTAAAGAAAAACGAGAGTGGCCTAACTGATAACGATGTAACAGTTTTCGATGTACACTACACGTGGTCAGGTGCTGCTTGTCTTCATTTAAAACATCTGCATGCAGCAATAATGTTGTCATGTCTGAAAAAACAATCAACAGCATCTTAAACAAAGTAAACACGACATATAGCTGACAACTTCCCTACATCAGTGTAATAGTGGTGTCTCCGTAAGATTCTTATACTGTATTGAAGCAAGACTGAATAATGATCCTTAAACAGTGAGTGAGTGAGTATGGTTTTACGCTGCTCTTAGCAATATTCCAGCAATATCGTCGGGGGAAACCAGAAATGGGCTTCACACATTGTACCCATGTTGGAAATCAAAGCAGGGTCTTTGGTGTGACAGATCCTTCAACAGAATATACATGGTAGATGGAGAATTACCAGTAGCAGTCAGCATGCCTGAGAGACATGAATACAACAGAACACACAGACTGGGGATGCCAGGCATACCGGATTGACTATACACAGGTAGGACTATTCACGGACGGGGTGAAATTACCTCATTCCCTGACATTTTAGACAACATTTCATAACAATCCTATCTTGATAAAACAGCTGCATCAAGAGTATAGTCAAATCGTGGTAATGTTTATGAGGACAAAAAATCCCCAGCCATGTACAAACTAGGCCATTATATGTATATTTCAAAAGTCACTATTAAAACAGTAATTGAGTCAAGTCAGATTTGACAAAAAGTGTCCGTCATATATTACATGTTATAGGAAGAGTTTCATGATGAAAATCAAAGGCATAAAAAGGCAGAACATGTCTACAGTGAGTACTAATAGGAGTTTTCCACTGATAGAAATATTTCACTGGTTGTTTTCACATTTTGTTGCTTTGTGTACCGATACACATGTATGCATGTTGCTTACTTCATACGGATGTAGGCCACCAGATCATATTCATTGGTTCATCTTTGCACAGAAAAAATACTGTGTACAGAACAACTTTAAGAAGTACAGAAATACAAAATACAGGTTTGGTTATGGCTTGGCAACAGGATCCAACCACAGACCTTCTGCTCATCAGTCTGGACCAGGTAACATATGGCATATATGCTGATTACAATAATCACATTCCAAAAGACATTTGAGAAAATAGTGTGAAAACATACCAGTGTTACTACCTCAAACTTTGCTATCTGCAGTAGCTTTCCTTGTTCGTTTGGCTGGAGAGCCCTCATCAACAGGTTGTTTCCTCTTCACAGCACTGAAAGTAGACACACTGTACTGACTATGTTCCTCCAGTGATGCAAGCTCAATAGTAGCATCATTACCATAACAAGATATTCTTTAGTATGGTGCTTGTACAAGTGATCACCCAAAGCAGGCCTGTTTAATCATTTCACCATCCATGTTAACCGATTTTCATGTTAACTCAAGTCACTGCTGGTCCAGGGATGGAAATAACCCATTGCCCGGTGCCCGAGTCCAGTGTTTTTTTCTGTTGGGCAAGCAAATTTATATATCACACTGTATCGGTGTCCAGTTGACTTTCCAATATTAATTATGTTGTTTATTTAAAAAATCAACAAGAAAACGGCTGGTATAGTGGAAAAATTATCAGGGCAAGTGATTTTACATGTGCCACTGTACCGGAGTACACTAGCAATTTTAAAGTTATTTCCACCCCTGTGGTCTACTGTCAAGGACAGTCTACTTGATCCGCTGGGTTTCAATCAAAAAGGTAAATATGCACAGCTCTACTGACACAGCCCACACCCACACAAAGCTGACCCAATATCTCAGTAAACTGCACAAATTATATGACAATCTTCACTGTCTACTAAAAGAATGTTTTCCCTTTTCTAATCTTAAATGACATCCTCTTTTGCACATTATATATTCAGCAGATATGTGTGTGCCTGTCTTAGATAAATATAGACCATCAAAACACTGTTTTCACTTGCCAAAATTGCAGAAAAGACATGCTGAAGAAGATGAAAGTTTTCTTAACTAACACAAATTTGCTTTGTCTATTTATGCTATTCAGACTGGATATGCATTCGGTGATATACTGACAGTAAACTTATTTTTTACCCATGTTGTGTTTGCAGAGCACCCACCTACAGCCATGAATTAATGCTTATAAAACAATGCAAATGACAGCTCACCTTATAGCATCACTTGAAGTGTGCTTGGTTGGTGAGACTGGTCCACTACCTTTCGGTGCAACCACAGTAACAATCTTAGGGATATTTATCGATGACGTAGTCTGAGTAGAAGTCTTAAGTTGGCTTGTCAGTACTGCGTATGTATTGCTGGATGCAGGTTTGGAAACAATACTGTTCATCTCACTGCCAACCTCTACTAAGCCTTTCATGTCAGTAATTGGGTAGAGATCTACTATGTCAAGCTTCTCGGGGTCAAGCTTCTGGGGGTCAAGCTTCACAGTCTTCTTGACAGCCTTCTGCTGACGGAAGGTTACTTCAATGTCATCATCAGTGTCAGAATCTATCTCTACCTGGGTCCCTGCTTCTCTTTTCTGCAAAGGAATATCAAATGTATTCAGGATTTACCACCATATTAATTAGTTAGTCAGTAAAAATTGATGGTTCAATAGGAAACCCAAATTGCCAGAAAAAGGACAATTTTACAGTGGCCATCACATGCCTCTCATCTCTCAATAGATCAGGGCCAGCGGCTGAGTGAAGATATGCATCATATTTTGACCTGGGCCCTGTTTCACAAAGCTCTCGTAAGCCTAAGATCTCGTAACTTTTCTCGTAGCATTCGTACTTCCTATGTTACAGTATAGGAGGTACGAATGCTACGAGTAAAGTTAAGAGATCTTAGGCTTACGAGAGCTTTGTCAAACGGGGCCCTGGATTCCTAGCCTAGGTCTATTTTTCAGACTTGGCAACTTGCGATTGGGTAAATGTTGTCATCACCGTCTGTTTGTATTATGGCTGCCTTTATATATTGCAGTGCCTTTGCATTTGGTCTGCCATTAAATTTACACTGCACTCTATTTTGTATTGCCATTGTAAAATGTAATTCCTTTGCAGTAAGTTGTATTGATTAGTAAACTTAATTTCAGAACACAATAGTCAAATGTATAACATTTCTTTGTTGATTACTGCCCTCGCTCCCTCAGTCCAATTCCTTTTTGACAAATTTCGAGTGAACTCATTGTTCTAACTTGGAAATTGACATGTAAAGGCATCCAAACTTTCTTACTATGTATTGTCTCAGCCTTAAAAGTAATTCATTTGCATTTATGATTAAAGTTACAAACATCAACAGCACACTGCCACATATGTCACGCTAATCCAACGACACAGTGAAACTGTTTGACTCATGGACTGTGCCCTTGATAATTGTGCATAAATCCCCTGGGACTACTTGATCTCTCATGGTGTCTATTTTAACTTCTGTGTGTTAGTTATGTAACACTCAGCAATAGTCAAGTCACATCAGTGGACTCTAAACAATCCAAACTTGTCAAGACAATTCAGTGTTTGACATCATAAGCATAATTCTACACATCTGGGATACAACGCCATCTATCAACCAAAATCACATTAGTCACCTCTTGTGACCATAATGAGCTGTAGGAAGACCAGTTACAAACAACATACTGAGACTTGTGAGTTGCTAGGCTACACTGTACAGCCAAAACTAGTCATTACCTCATCATTCTGTACTTCGGACTCATCACCACCTTCAGGGACAAGTCCCTCACTCTTGTCCATGTTCAGTTGCTCAGAGCTGTCTATTGCCATTAGCAGTTCATCAACACCTTTCTCTGCAGAATCTAACCTGGAGGAAAACTCCTCCACCCGTCCATCAGGATGAACTATAACAACTTGAGGAGCATTACCAAGTTTCCCTGCTCGCAAGTCCTGCATAAGATTATTGTGTAGTTGATCATTGACTTGTGGCACATTTGTTGCAGAGGTACCTGCCTCTGAATCCTCATCATCCGACATACTACATTCTATACCATGATGTTGCAAGTGACGCACAAGATTACCCTTATGAGCAAAAGATCTATCACACTCGGAACAGTCATGCATCTTCTCCCTCGGTGCAGGAGGCATGTAGTCTGGGGTGTGATGAAGGTTTCTGTGTCGTCTCAGGAGCTGTTTCTGGCGGAATGTCTGATCACATTCATCACACTCAAAAGGTTTAATCCCGGAGTGAGTGAGCAGGTGACTATCCAGGTGCCGCTGTGACAATGCTGCATAGTCACAGTTCCCAAAATCACATTTAAAACATTTCTCTCCATCATGGTTCTTGTTGTGCATTTTATAGGAGTAGCGATCTGGGAAAGTTTTGTTACATTTACGACATACCAGTGGTCTTTCACTGGTGTGAAGTTTTTGGATATGTATTTTCAGATCTGTTTTCCGTCCACAAGTTGTTGGACATAGATCGCACTGGTACACAGGTTTGTCTCCGGAATGTATAAGTTTGTGGGCTTTCAAACTGTTACTCTGAGTAAATCGAGCATGGCAAACATCACATTCATATGGTTTCTCGCCTGTATGGATGCGTAGATGACGCTTCAGTTTGTATGTGTCCGGACTTGCATATGCACAGTGGGGGCACTGATATGGTCGTTCACCTGTATGAGAGCGCATGTGTCTCTTTAACTTGCTAAGTTCAACACTCGCATAGTCACAAACCATACACTTGTGTGGCTTCTCAAATGTATGCCTGTACCTAATATGGCGCACAAGCTCACCAGATGTTGTGAAAGCTGCTTCACAGTCCTTGCACTTGTGTGGTCTGTGACCAGTGTGAGTGTTCACGTGATTAGTTAACGATGCAATTGTCTTGAATCCACGCTCACAGATAGTACACTTATGTGGACGTTCTTCTGAATGAGACTTCATATGCCGAGATAAGAGATACCTCTTTGGACTTGTGTAGTTACAATAATGACACATCAGTTGATTTGGAGATCCTGTAGCAAAAGCTCTCTTTGGTGTTATTTTCAAGATTCGTTTGGTTGTTCCATCCTCATCAATTATCTCTTCTGTACTGATTTCACGAGCCTCTTCTTTAAAGTCAAACACAGACATATCAGTTGTAATAGGTTTACCATTTGCATCTTTTTCTCCATCTGGCTGTGAAACTATCAGCACGTAGCTCACCTCGCCATCCTTCCCAACTTCAGAAGGAACAATGGTCACAGTCTGGAATGAGTTACCAGCATTGAAGACAACAGAATTGTCAGTAGCACCCTCAGCTGCACCAATAACTTGAAGAGTCTCATCCACTCCATCCCCAGCCTGCACAGCCACAAGCTGCGGCTGAGAGCTGTCGGCAGAGTTCTGGAGGGCCACAAGCTGAGCATTATGCATCTCACTTTGACTAACTGGAACTGCCTGAAGATGATTCACAGCATTAGAGGTATTAGCTGCAATCGAAGCCAACACTGCAACTGGATCTGTTCCATCAATAACATCAGGTTGTTCAATGCCCTCTACACCTTGAGTAGTTAGTTCTTTAGGTACCTCGGTGAGTTCAGTACCCTGTGGAATCTCTTCACTGACAAACTGCATCTGACCATCAGCCCCCATGGATACAATCCTTATGATGTTCCCTGCTGTTGCAGGATTCATCAAACTCTGGACCATGGAAGAACTGATCTCCTGCGTAGAAACTGAAGCATCCAACCCACCAATAATTTGTGTTCCATCTCCTGCTAAGTCTGCAATGTATGTCTGGTACTGGGAATTAATGGCGTCTGCTTCAGATTTTTCCACACCAACAAGAGCAGAAGTATCATCTGGCACCTGTTCAGTCCCTGACAGTGGGGCAGAGACTAACCCCTGAATGAGCTGAACTGCAGCTCCCTCCAGGTTCCCATCAATGATACCCTGTTCCTTGTAGAATCCACCAACAGCCTGAGCTTGAGAAGTTGTAGAGTCACCTCCTGCAAGAGCAACAGCAGCATCTTGTATGACCACTTGACCCTTGTTATGTTCAGAGGATATTTGCACTGGGCGTATTTGTTGAGATCCTGGCGTCTGTTCTCCTTCAATTTCCTTGTTAAAGGTCACCAGGTAGTTTTGAAGGTCGTTTAAATTCTGTCCAGAGGCTGGTGTTACCCCAGCCACCTGGTCCATGGCTCTGCTGTCTTATCTGAAAATACAGGATATATCTCAGAAATAGAATCAGATAATTGGTAAACAGTGAAATGACATTCTCAAAACTTTTGTAATCTCAAGTAGTAATTAAAGATTCATTTTCAGGCCAAAGTGGGCTGATAAATGATGTTAGGTCTCAATATTTGGACTGGTTCTTGATTTCAAGCTCACAACAAAAGGAATTCATTAAAAGTTGTGGTTGTGAAATCAACTCCAAAACAAAACTGTTTGGGTGAATAATTTCAGTGTACGTATCACTAAAGTATATTGGAATGAAACACATTAAGACAGAAGACAAGTGCTACAATGGATTGGCTGCCAATGTTCCACCAGTCCCAATGTTCACTGCACTCTGATAACCTCCACCTTCTGTCAATGCCTCAGTACAACTTCACAAGCTTTGGTGATAAGCCATTCTGTGTATATGCCCCAAGACTCACTTGACTCTTTCAGATCACGACTAAAGACATTCCTATTCCATGAACACTATGACCTTTGAACTATGTGCCGCTTTGAGCATACACCAGTGTATTGAATCTTGCGGGATGCCAAATTACATCATCATTATTATTATTAAGACAGGTTGTCTTAAGATCTGTGAGTTTGTGAGTTTTCTTGCCTTAATATCATGACAGGGGACACAAGTATTGGGATAATCTGTGAGTGTAGTGTGGAAATATATGTGAACTATCATCAAGAGCCACTAACTGCAATGACCAAATGGCAAAGTCCCTTGGGTCTAACCAAAATTGTTCATCGTTGTTAAGTAGAATTCACTACCTCTGCTGACTGAACATACTGAACAGAAGGAAACTACCACCTGGCTTGAGACTACTAGCTACATTACTGTCTGAAGAAGTGAATGTCTGTACGCTGCAATACACAAGCGGGGATCAACAAGAATTTGACTTGTCTGAACTTCACTTGACCATGGACAATGTTTAATGTATCATTTCAAACCAGTTGTTTCCATGTACCTGTAAAATGAAGCTCTTATTTCATGACCCATTCATAACAACCATAAAACAAATTTCAATGTATGTTGTGAGGTGAAACACTTCATCACAAGAGATCAAAATTCCACAAGATCTATTGATTACCTCCCTATCCACTACTCCCTTGTACTAAATACTGAAAGAGTAGAATGTTTAATAATACCCTACAAAAAAATAACAATGAAAGGTGTTTGAGTATTTTAATGGTTTGGGATTTTTCATTGCTCTGCTTCGACATGAATTTCTGATCAAAAAAATTAATGGAGACTAATGATATGATCACATTATTCATTTCACAAATAGAACCTTTTGACACATTATCATCAATTTATATTCTATTGTTTCCACCTGGTTAGCACTAAATGGTAAGCACTTACATGGTCTTAGTGCGAGAACGTTTATTCAATATTTGATCTCTTCATTCGATCCATGTTTACATTGTGAGTGGTTTGTATGTGTTCTTAGGAATGGTCTTTCGTTTTCCTGGACATATTGGGGCTGTTTTCTGCATTTCTGTTAAACTTGCATCAGTGGAGTGTGTCTCACTGCCTTCTATCAAGAGTTTAGGGTAGTGAAGTAAGATTTGGCCGCTAGGAGGATACAAGGGTGACACTCAGCGCCCCCACCGCCATGCCAGCGCCCTCTGCGAAAACACCGACCCAGGAGCAGACAGCAGGTCGTGCGCGAATAATAATGGTGTCTTTTGCAACATCGGTGATTTAGTCCTTGCCACAGTGATCATATATTGTTCATAGATGGAATCCGTATCCTTATGATAAGAATTCTGAGCATTCGTCAGAACTTTGGAACACTAATATTGTCTTGAAAGTGTTTCTCGTCTTTTTCATTCAAAATGGCGGACGCATTTACATCCGCAGTGAGATAACTACACCGTTCCTCTTCTCCTAAACTTAAACGTTCATTGTGACTACATTTCTGATTCTTGTACATTTATTGGCTACAGTCCGATTACAAATTTACTAGATTTGGTTGTATTTGTGGGTAACCACGTCTGTATGGGCTTACCTTTGGTAACAAAATTTGACACTGGAGGGCGTTGTAAGCTTGTCGACATGAAACGATATAGCTCCGCGCATGCGCAGTCAACACAACATGGCCTGTGCGTGTTTTTTGCCGCTGGCTCTCTAATGAAATGTATTACTCACGAGGAACTACTCTTGATTTTTTTTGCTCAAAACCAGGAAGTGTATTCATCGTCAAGCAGATGACAGATTTTCAAAAGCTTTTGTTACATCATCATGATAACTTGGTCATGAACTTAAAATGGTAACATAATATATCACTTTAATGTGAATGTAATAAATGATTAGGGGCTTGGATCCAATTATATTTCACCCACCCAACTGACAATTTATATACCATATCTTACCCAATTAGTGTAATACCTCACCACTATTAGCACCAACATTATATACGTACATTGTCAGGTTACCTATGTTTGAGATTACTTCCAGCAAGTTGGTCCCTGCCTGGCGCTCGGCATTAATGGTTACAACAAGGACTGGTCGGCTCGGAGTCAGTAATAATGTGTCTGAGTGGGGTATTCATGCTTCAGTGCGGCATGGTATCTCAGTGGGCTAGCACTATAAAACCAGCTTCAGTCTGGGCTAGTACAAGCAGCCGCACATACACACGCATGCACGTCGTCATATGAGCGAAATATTCTCAAGCACGACGATAAACCCAATTTCACCTCACCTACTTCCAGCAAATATAATTTCCGTCTTGCCTTGCGTTTGCTGTATTAGATAACTGCACATTGACAAACATATGTTGACGTATGCTAATGGAACAAATTATCTGAATGTAGATGGTGTCAACCGCCAACCTATAGGCATCCGGCACCCTATGACCCTCAGCTTGGCGTCGAGGTGATGAATATAAGAGTCCCATCAATGTACACAGCTGGTAAAAGTACATAAATTTAGGATGTTCACACAGAATGCATGACAGTGCATGCCTATAAGCTCAGGGCTAATACGGTATTGATTTTCACTCAGTGGGAGAGTGAAAAGAGGAACACATATTACAATATTGAAATATTGGCATCCCCAAACCAGATAGTTCCCGCATACCAAACAGGGCGTGGCACACCAATGGGCGGTTGGCACCAGCTATTGTTGTACATTTACAATACCTTGGTGTTGCATCTGAACGTAAGGTCTTATCACGCTCAAATTTCACAGCGTGCATTAAACGCCACGTGTATTTGTAAGATATTTAAAGTGTGCGCCCATAATGGAAGTCTCATTCAGTAATGCAACTGAGCTAAGATCATGCATAAAACTGTTTCCAGGACTGTGTGTCAATGAACAGAGACAATGGCGGAATGTGGGAACGACAGTTGTTTGGCGAATCAAAAAGTGTAATTTTTCGTCTGTACCACAAGTACCGTCAAACATTCAGGGTTGCAATGAGATCTTGGTGTCTCGTGACAAGTATTTTACGGTACGACCGTACGTAGATTACAATATGCTCCTCTTACAGAGAATTCCGTAAAATAACAAGTCGGTGAATTTCAGTGAAGGATGTGAGACTGTCTGCTGTTTTGTCTGCTTAAAACAACACTCGCCTTAACATACCACGTCCATACATTAGCGTTGATGTATTGCATTATTTGTAAATACGTTTGTATGATTAACCCCGGACTCCGCAACAGTCCAGCTATATGGCGGCGCTACCCCTGAAGACTCACTTTAACAGGAAACCCGCGCCATATGACGCGCATACTATCGTTATCCATGAGATAATGCTCGACAACACTGTATTCAAGGGTCGAGTTTGTGTTCCCAGCTGAATTTGTTGCTTAAGTTTGTGATGGAAAGATCTTCCCGCATCCCTTTTCTTGAAAAATAAGGGCGGTGGGGTACCTCACACACCAAAGACACGGGTTCGATTCCCCACATGGGTACAATGTGTGAAGGCCATTTCTGGTGTCCCCCGCCGTGGTAATGCTGGAGTACTAGTAAAAGCAGCCTAAATCCATACTCGCTCACTTGAAAAGACCCGTGAAGGTCCGGGTTAGAATATTGATCTTCAGTAACTCGTACTTGTCGTAAGAGGCGACTAACGGGATCATGCAGGTGGTCCGGCTCGCTGGCTTGGTTGTCATCGGTTCCCAATTGCGTAGATCGATGTTCATGCTGTTGATCACTGGATTGCCTGGTCCAGACTCGATCATTTACAGACCGCCGCCATATAGCTGGAATATTGTTCAGTGCGGCGTAAAACTAAACTCACTCACTTTAAAAATAAACACAATTCATTTTGAGAAGAATGTGCACAGGAAACATCCAGTTGAGTTTATGCAATGTTCACGGGTAATGTCCTTATGTGGAAATCGCAAGATGTTATTATGCCGGAAACCATGTTTCATCACACTGAGGACAAAACTATCATGTATAAACAAAGATAGGTCATGACTAACGTTTTCTAATGTAAAGTTTGTTAACCTAAAAACTTTCAATCGAGTTTCGTGTAAAGGAGATTCTAACAGTCACATATTCCTTGGTATGTATCTAGACTATGTGATACTCCAGTCTCCAGGTGATTATAGCCTTTTGAAGTCCTGCTGGCCTTCCTTAGTAAATTGGTACGATACAGTGCCAAGACACTATGCCTGTAGTTGTAGTTCACGTGGTACCGTTCAAGCTACCGCCCGCGTTCTCTCAATAAGACTGGATTATTTACGAACCGCCGTTATAATGTCTCAACCAAATGAGTAACTTGAATCCCACAATGGAAGTAGTGTGTGCATTAGTATGATCATGCCTGTGTACCCCACTGCTATCATCAAGGTAACAGTACACAGAATGAACGTACATTACGGCATCACCGTATTTGTATGTATGTTATTTATGAGAAATGCAGTAGCGATATCCTGTCGGTCCAGGACCTTGTTGGCTGTTTTGTTGTTTAACGCCGTACTCAGCAATATTCCAGCTATATGGCGTCGGTCTGTAAATAATCAAGTCTGGACCAGACAATCCAGTGATCAACACCATGATCATCAATCTACGCAATTGGGATACGATGACATGTGTCAACCAAGTCAGCGAGCCTGACCACCCGATTCACTATGCGTAACGTTTTCCCTTCCTACGTCACACCAGGACCTAGATTTTCGAAGCTCTCTTAGCGCTAAGATAGTCGTAAGTGCCATTCATTAACAATAACTTACGACTATCTTAGCGCTAAGAGAGTTTCGAAAATCTAGGCTCTGTACCTTACCAACGGCAAAACGCAGTGTGACTGGTCACTGACGACAGCCCTGTTCCACGGCCTCTGGTTGAATCTGCCATGTCTGCGGAGACATCGTAAACGTTCAACTCGATTAAACTGCGTCAGGATAGGTCCTGTCTATGGTCGTCTAGCTCGAATACCTGCAGTGCGCAGTCGATTCCTGGTGATGAAACTAAACCTCTGAACGACTGTCTGCTAGTGGAGGCTGCAGTCTCAAATCTGGTTCGGAGATGACGCGACCGGATTTGTTCGTCGTCTTGGTGTGACTTCACATGCGGCGCGATTTACAAGGGAGTACTCGGGTACTTGAACGGATTGTCCAGCATTAAACTTACACATGACACGCTCTCGTTGTTGATGTGGGAGTCGAGGCATACTCGCTTTTGGTTTGTCCATGTTTAGTATTAGATTCCAATGCACGTGCGATGTCCACCTGACTTGTTTCAATGGTTTCTTTAATCCATACTTGTGGCAAGAGCCCAGGTGTGAGAAGGACCAGGATCAATGGTATAACATGCATTAAGCCATACATGTGAGAAGGATCAATGGATCAAAGCCTAGTGGTGTGTGAGAAGGATCAATGGAAGGATCAATCTTTCATTATGCTATACTTGTGGCAAGAGCCCAGATGTGAGAAGGATCAATGGTTTCTTTAATCCATACTTGTGACAAGAGCCCAGGTGTGAGAAGGATCAATCATATACTTCTTTCATTAATGCTATACTACTTGTGGCAAGAGCCCAGATGTGAAGATCAAAGGATCAATGGTGGCAAGAGCCCAGGTGTTAAAGGATCAATGGTTTCTTGTGGCATACTTGTGGCAAGAGCCCAGGTGTGAGAAGGATCAATGGTTTCTTTAATCCATACTTGTGGCAAGAGCCCAGGTGTGAGAAGGACTCCATACTTGTGGCAAGGACAATGGATCAATCTTTCATTATGCTATACTTGTGGCAAGAGCCCAGGTGAGAAGGATCAATGGTTTCTTTAATCCTATACTTGTGGCAAGAGCCCAGGTGTGAGAAGGATCAATGGTTTCTTTATACTTGTGGCAAGAGCCCAGGTGTGAGAAGGATCAATGGTTTCTTTAATCCATACTTGTGACAAGAGCCCAGGTGTGAGAAGGATCAATGGCTTTTCATTATGCTATACTTGTGGCAAGAGCCCAGGTGTGAGAAGGATCAATGGTTTCATTATGCTATACTTGTGGCAAGAGCCCAGATGTGAGAAGGATCAATGGTTTTCTTTATGCCATACTTGTGGCAAGAGCCCAGATGTGAGAAGGATCAATGGTTTCTTTAATCCTATACTTGTGGCAAGAGCCCAGATGTGAGAAGGATCAATGGTTTCTTTAATCCATACTTGTGGCAAGAGCCCAGGTGTGAGAAGGATCAATGGTTTCTTTATGCCATACTTGTGACAAGAGCCCAGGTGTGAGAAGGATCAATGGTTTTTCATATTATGCATTATACTTGTGGCAAGAGCCCAGGTGTGAGAAGGATCAATGGTTTCATTATGCTATACTTGTGGCAAGAGCCCAGGTGTGAGAAGGATCAATGGTTTCTTTAATCCAT